ATGTAGCACATTCAGCACCAGGTCCAAGGCTAAAAGATGGTTTCCCAAACCTAGAAGGGGCGGGGGCTCTGGGAGCACAAGGAACAGAAAGGGGGCATCTCCTCAGCAACCTGGGCTGTGCCATATTGAGGAGCTGTTACGCAGATTCCAGGTTAGAAGAGACAGAGGTGCCACAGCCCCCAGGACCAGGGATGTGATGGGAAGTTCCTGCGGACCCTAATTTTACTGTCCATCTAGATTATTTTCTTATCCAAATGTGTGAGCACTGTTAACTTCACTCATGCAGTGTCTCCCTGGATTTTGCAAATCATTCTTTGTTTCTTTTGTTAAATGTAATCTTTCAGTCTTTCAGTCTTCAATGATGAGAAAGTTTCAGATTCTATGAGTGAATATTTTCTTTATCCCTTTTCATGATTGTTGTTACAATTTTTTAGAAATCCTACATGATTACATCGCACAATCTTACCCCATTGTCTCCAGCCAGGCAAACTCTCTCCCGCGATAGCTGTCCTTGGTACCTCTGGAGCCCACACCTCATGCAGGTGGAGGTCTCCATCTTCTGTGCCCGTCCTCCCGCCCAGACAAAGGGCTATATGTACAGACACAACGAGTCTGCCAAATTTTATTGAGCTACTTTCTCTTCTGGGCAAAATAGTGGGGTGTTAAAAACAAAAAAAGGAAATCATGTCTTCAAAATTAGAAACAGCATTTGCTTGCTCCTCATCCTGCTTCCAAGTATCTAGGAGAGGAATTGAAAGCAATGATTACAGACTCTTTAGAGGATCAGAGAAAATGGGTAGCTGCTGTGGAGTGGGTGATGTGGAGTGGGGGCTAGGGAGGCTTAGATCATAAGATTTAACCAGTAACATCTGAGGCAAATGATGACTGAAATACTTTAGCTGCATTCCTTGCTGGAGTTTTCAGAACCTAGTCAGTTATCTAACCAGCTGTCAGATGTTTCAAGGGTCCACATCTGAGCAAGATGCAAAGGAGGGTTTAGCAGCAACAAAATTGGTGGTCTTGGCCTCTACATGTCACTGATGATCTAGGCAGAGACCAATCAGAACCTTTGATAGTACAGGCATCACCCTTTATCTGAATCTAGTCTGTTCCTGGAAATATGTTGGCTGGTAAATTTCCAGATGGTAGGAGTCCTTTCTGTTATCTTGTATGAGATGAACAATAAAGCCTTCCCACCTCATCCAAAAAGCCCAGACAGTTTCCCTAAATATCACTAAAACATTCTTAGACATTTATTAGTGTTTAATATCTAATGCACAATGCATGGATTGTTACATATGACAATCCACCAATGATTTCTGCATAATATGAAGCATTTAAAACACCAGTTCTTCAATGCTTAATCAGTGGTTATTCATGTGTGCATAATACAGAGTATGCTTTCCCACCACAGTACAGTGGATATATATTAATGTAAATGAACAATAAAATAAAATGTTAAAGAAATATAACAAGTATAAATAACATTTAGCAAAATAAAATAAGCAAGCAAGACAATTTTTTGAGTGGTTACGTATTGATTAAAGAGTTAATGGAGTGAGATTGGATGGGCTAGAGTGAGCCTGTGAAGGACTAAGTGAAGCCATAAATGCCTGAGATTTGCCTGCAGCTAAATCCTGGGATAGTCTTCTCTCCTTGGCTTTTGAGACTCCAGAAGTGTGTGGCTGTGAGCTACCAAATGGGATAAAGTAATGGGATGAAGAAAATTAAAAACTTATGTCTGTTTACATTTCTTTGCTTCCATTAATACAGCTCTTGACAACGTGAGACTGGGCTGTGATTGCATTTCTGAATGAGATGTTTCTGCTCCTGTCACTTGCACCTGCAGTCGTCATTTTGTCTGCATCACTTAAATTTATTTTAAAGATTGACATTGAATATTCATTGCTCCTCTTCTTCCTCTGACAAGTGATAAATGTCAAGTTGAGCAAGTTCCACTCTATCAGACAAAAAGTTTTCACTTGATAACGTGGGGCTGATGCACATACGTAATGCATAACACATTGAAGTAGTGTGGTCCTAGGGGAGGGACAGCTGAATTACAACTGCAATGGTACATCTTATCACTGAGACCCAGACACAGTATAAACATTTTCATTGGTGCCCAAAGGCAGATTATAGTGTTTTCTATTCAGATGGTGAGTTCTGAATAAAATTTTTTGCAAGTTGTAACAGGGAATAGTAAGAGTTCAGATAGCAAGGGGTACCTGTGAATGGTGTTCGCTTGAAGGCAGTGCGGGCTTTGGCACCAGACAATCCTGGATCCATAGCCTGGCTTCCCCATTTATTAGCTTGTATGATCTTGGGTATGGTCGTTAATGAGCCTCAGTTTCCTCAAATGTAAAATAGGGATAATAATACTTAACTTACAATGTTATTATAAGATCATAATATGCATATATGGCGTCTGGCACACAGATGTCCAATTAAAAAAAAACACAGCAACTACTTCTATTAGTCTGTTAGCATGTGGATGTAAACAACAGAAATTTAAAGAAAGAAATGTATAAAATAAACTGAATACAGCCTCTTTGTTACTGGGATAATAAGAGGAAAATGAGACTAATTACTGTAATGCACAAAAAAACAGGGAACATCATGCTTTTAAAAGCAGGACGATTCACCGTAAGTTACATTTTTCTTCTTCATCTTGGCAGCACCTTATAAGAAAGCCACACCACTCTGTTTAGTGTTTTGCTGAGTGTTTGATGCTGTTAGTGTTAAAGTCCAAAATTAATTTCCCCAGTGCATTCTTCATTCACAGCAGTAGTAATTGAATCCTTCTGTAATAGCCGTATCCTGTACACATTACAACAGGCCCAGGCCAAGGGAGGCTTTCAAACACATTTGTGTATACTTTCTGGAGATCAGGTTGGTCACCACTTGTACAGAGATGTCCCAGGAAAAGCCCTCGTACCCGAGTAGCCTTCAGGGTCTGATACACCTCTCACATTTCCTAGACCAGCATTTCTTGTTCCCTAAGGCTGGGCTTCCTCTTTCATTCTCAGGTGTCTGCTAGTTTTCCTGCCTGTGTCCCAGTCTCTTAAACCTGATGCATACTCTATGCCCCTGCTCACCTCTAGTCTTTTCTTCTTCAGGGATCCTAGCACCCATCTTTGGTCCAGAGCCACTGCCAGATGTAGTGTCATGGAGGAAAAGAGATTCCATGACCCAGGCTCCCCAAAGACTGAAATCTCCAAACTCTGCCTCTGAGTCTGGGCCCCCAGATAGACTTCCTGGCATACCATGGAGGTCTAGCCATGTCTGAGCCATCCCAAATGGCTGCTTCTCCAGGACTGGGGGCAGAGGTGGGGAGAATGAAAGAAAGGAAGACCCATCAAGAGGATGGGAGGATCACTCATGTCAGTCAAATGAGGTGGTTAAGAGTATAGGCTGTGGAGCCAGACTACCTGGGTGTGAACTCCAGCTCTGATCTTTACTAGTTATGTGACCTTGGACAAGTCACTTCATTCTTTTGTTCCTAAGTTTCCTCACCTGTAAAATGGAGGTAGTAACAGTACCTCTCTCATAGGTCCTTAGGAAGATTAAGCAAGTTGCTACGTTGATAAAGAGCTCAGAACTGTGCTTCCCACATGTTAAGTGCTAAATAATTGTCGATGATGATGGTGACCAAAAGCCTCCAGCAAAGGAATGACACCTAGGCTCCTTAGCATTGGTTTGTGTGATCTTGGGTGAGGTGCTTAATCTAGGCTTGCCTAGTGCAGGCCTGTTTCTCCCTCAGGACACAGGCCTCCTGCACCCTACCCCTGAACACAGCTCTCTATTTCACAAGCCCCCAGATCACTGTGCTGGAAGTTCATGTCTTTGTTACATTCTTTGTTTCTGCTTCCCTCAGCTTAGAGTGCTACTTTCCCACCCGAGCCTCCACATTCTACCTCCCTTACTTTAAGTCTTACCTCATGAGCCAGTTTCTCTGCAAAACCCAGGAGGCGTGGATCAATTTATCACGGGGTATAAATGTTTGCTTCCTCCCCAGATTCAAGCTGATTGAAAGCAGGGACATAACCCTCCTATCTTCACCCCCCGGTACTTGGGAGAGTGCCTGGAACATAGTAGGCACTCAAGGTATCAAATGTCTTTCTTTCTGCAGGACTGATGGTCATCGATGTCGTAGACTGGATGATACGTATTTCATAAGGACTTCGTGTAAATCATTTAGCAAAGTGCCTGTCACAGGTGTTAAAGTTATTATATTTATGGTTGTTGTTGCTCTTTTGTTGTAGAGTAGAAAGAGCCCAGGCTTTGGAGCTAAACAAACATTGACTAATAGACCAGCTTTGTCACTTAAATGCTGCAGGAACTTCAGTTTCCTCAACTATAAATTGCAGTTATCATACCTATCTCGGCGCAAAAAAAAAAAGTAAGCAATCAACAAATCGGTCCCTTCTCTTTCTCCTCTGTGGCTGTCTAATTTTGTGACCTGGCTCAATTCCCCTCACTTCTCTGGCCCAGGTTACTCATCTTTAAAATGAGGACATTCAACTAGATGATCTCCATGTTCCCTGGCAGATCTAAATGTCAAAATTATTGAACTCATCATCTTTTCCCCTTAAATCTACTCATTCTCTGTCCCTGAGAGAGGTTCTTTCCTTGACAACTATTTAATGTTTTGATATATTAAATTGTTTCAATTTTCAGTCTCTCTCAATGTCTATCTCTCTGTGTCTCTCTTGAGACCATAGGGTAGTCCAGATGCAGGGCCTCTGCACAACTCCAGAAACCATTCATACAATAGGACTGTACGTGAGTAGCACCCCAGGAATTGTGCCCTGCAGCAGCCCTCAGTCCTGGATGGATTCCCTTCACAGTGTAGTTTAGTGATGTCTGCGGAGCACGCAGAGGAACAGTCTCCAGCTTTCCTTGGGTCCAGCAGAAAAGAATCTGCATCTAAGAGTGAACAATCGTGGGACCAGATGGAGCATCACATTCATGGCCTTTCCTTTCCTGTTCTGCCCCAGACTTTGCAAATGGGCATCAAACACTTCTCTGGACTCTTCGTGCTGCTGTGCATTGGATTTGGTCTCTCCATCTTGACCACCATTGGTGAGCACATAGTGTACAGGCTGCTGCTCCCACGCATCAAGAACAAATCTAGGCTGCAATACTGGCTCCACACCAGTCAGGTGAGTGCCACAGGCATCTTCCTCCAATATTCCTAAACGTCAGAATTCCCAGTAATGGGAGAATCCAGGGCCCCAAGTCAGACTGACAAATGATAGGTTACCAAGAGAACCAGGGTTGTGTAGACACTCTCAATGTACAAGATGGAGTTCCCTCTATCCCACTTGCCCCTTAAATTAAGCTATCCCATAATGCTCATGCCTTTCATATAACTCTCCACTGTTGCTCACAGTGGAAGCAATAGCGTCGCTTTTAACCTGGCTTCTCTTAGTGACAGTCTGAAGAGATGGTGTGAAAGATTTGTTTCCTATAGACTCTTTTCTTGCCAAAATTGAAACCCATTAAATGAACTCGAAGTCCATTTCCCTTTAGATGAACCTACCAGCCCCTATTCTCACTGCAGTTCAATGGTCCAGAGCTTTGAAGTCCACTGGTGCCAAGGCCAAGCTCATAGGATCAAAGTTCCTTCATGTAATCCAGAAACCTACGCACTCACTTACAGAGAGAACTGAAAATGTCAGGCAGACCACCATTCAAGCGTATTCCTTTGCACATCTCACCCTGATGGAAACTGGCACTGAGAGCCAAAATGTACTCCGAAGGCTTCTTACCGATGAAGGAGCTCTAGCAAAGGCAGCAGTTCCCCCCCCAGCACGTTGTCCAGCGAGGCCGGAGGAGCCATCCTGACCTCCCGACGACTCCCTCCTACTTCCCAGTGCACTATCTCAGCCTCTCAGTAGTGAGGCTGCCAGTTCTGCCACCTTTGCCCCCTGCATTGTTATGCGGGCTCGCTGCTTTGTTAACACAGTACTTTTTTTCTAGATAGGTCACTATCATTGGTTTGGTTACATGTGAACCCTGTTGTTCTACTTTCATCCTAGGACCTATTTGGTCTCCTAAGGAGAACTCTGCAGACAACTGATCCTCTCCATTGTATGTTAGCATGATTAATTTAATTAATCAGGAGTTCTTACCTTCTTTGTTTTGGCTGTTAAGAAGTCAGACTTAAGTTTTTGACTCACCTTTAGCAATTGTGCCAGGCCCTTTGCCACGTGTTGGTTATGATAACTCTTCTTTATATCACATACTTTTTTACAACTCAGAGTATTTCTAAGCTTCCCACCAAATTACTTTTCTTTCCTCCAGGTAGAATAATAACTTATAATTAGAATTTTTGCTCTCTTGAGATTTGGGACTGAATATTGATCTTTTTTCCGGCATCATTGTTAAGTTGTTTAAAGAGGCCTAGGTTTGTAGTGAAGAGATTAAATCTCAGGGGGTACTTTGTCCCCTGGTTGCGTGTTTCTAACAGTCTCTGTGTGTGCATCTGTTCTTTCTGCCAGAGATTACATAGAGCATTAAACACATCATTCGTGGAGGAAAAGCGGCAGCGTTTCAAGACTAAGCGTGTGGAAAAGAGGTAAGAAGAGGCCGGTTCCAGGTGTCAATTATGTTTGTTAAAAGTTTAGAGATGTAACTGAGACTTCATGCTCCAAAGGGAAATTATGTATAATGAATCAAATCGGGACCAAGTTGTTGATAAACACCATCAGTAAAAATACGTGGTCTCAAATAGAAGTAGCACAGACAAAATAAAAAACATATCTGTACATAGATGGACACTGAAATGCAGTAGAGGCAATATATGTTGTGGTTTAAGTGCTGGTGTGATCTCTAAGGTCAAGCATCTGTATCCAAATACTGACTGTGACACTTACAATATGTGTGGTCTTGGGCAAGTCCTTTATTTAACTTCACTATGCCCCAATTTCCTCACTCGTGAAAGTTAGATAAATAGAGTACCTACTTTCTGGAGATGCTATAAGAATTCAATGAGATAACACATCTAAAGCCCTGAAAACAAAGCTATTTTAGCTATTATTGTGTACAAAATACAAGTTAGACTTAATTCATAAGTACCACAGGCAGTTTCATGCAATATTGCCCCTTTGGCATGTTTCCACTCCCCACTCCTTTCCAGCACTTCTAGGAATATCTGAAATATGCAACAGACGTGTTCTGTTTAACCCATTTCCCGGCACTGTTACTACAAACTCCCCAGAAAAGAGCATCTCATTAATAGGAAGCAACAAGCATTAAATGCATAGTTGACATTTGAAAATGGAAACTCTGCATCTTCCCCACATCCAGCCTGTGGAAGACTGTTGCCTCATTCATGGTGGCTAAAGATGTTAGGAGTATTTGGGTCTAGTACCTGGCTGGCCTCTGTTTCATGCTGCCTAAGACAGCCTCCTGGTTCTTTCTTATGTCCAGAGGCCTCGGTTTACAGCATTTCCTCCAAGCAACTCTGTCATCTATGGCAGATCCTCAGCTCCAAGCTTGGCTTTCTGGGTAATTCTAAAACCTGACACTCACACTTCTTATTCACAATAGAGGACAAGGAAAAGGGGGTGGAAAACATGATTCTTTTTCATTGTTTTTACCTCCTTGGGGACTGCTGCAGTCCCCTTCTCTGCAATTTGCATCAAGCTTGTCAGAATCATTTCCGTTATCTCTTAAAGCCTCTCTTTCCAGGCAGCGAGCACACCCCCCTCTCCCTCAGGGTCTGTGGTGTCCCTGTATCACACTGCGGCCCCATCAGCAACAAGCTGCAGACCAATCAGGTCACAGCTGTTCTATGTCGTGTTACATATATTTTTTTTCTATAATTATTTTTAACATAAATTTTTAATGAGAGGGGAACACAAGAAGACATAGCAGCAAAGACACCATCTCATAATAACAAAGCATTTGTTTTCCAGCCATAATAGAAACAGGGAGCTGCCAGTGATCACATTTCCAACTGTGAGATGACTCCTATTAGCATTTCTCTCACCTAAATTCAGAACCAAATGCATCTTTCACTCAGCTTATCCATTTTTGTTGGCAGATTCCCTTCTGAAATGCCTTATTTTGAGAAGGAGCTAAGGTAACACACCCTCATGGCTTATTGGGCCCATGTTTCCTGTGGTACCTCCCTACAACCCAACACCCACCTATAACCTTTCAAACACAGTGAGTGTTTGAGGGCTCACAGCTCTCACATCTCTTCTGAATGGTCTAGTGGAGTATTGAAACTCAGCGTTACAAAATTGTCCTGTGAAAGCTTTTTAGTGTTAAATTCAGTTAACTCACTGGTCGCCTTACACTCTAAGGCTGAGGAAAGCTTGCAAACCACAATCAAAACACTGTAGAGGCCAACAATATAACACGTTCATTTCTTCCAATTAGACACCATATCTGGCATTCAGCACCTATCACCTTGCATTCATAGGTGGCTCAGAGGCGCATGTCAATCATCAGAGCACTTGTGATGCTGCCACCTAGAGTATGTCATGGAAACCAGCTTTTGCTTATTCTCCTATATTATATTCCCAGATACATGTACAAAGCTCTGGAGAAAACCAGATTGGCTAATTCTATTTGCCTGATTTCTGAGGTTGCCTGGACATTCCAGGAAAATGTGTTGATGCCTAACTCCCAGGTTTTCCCCACTGTGAATCATTCCATGATCCTAGAGTTAGGTCCATTGGCTCAAAAACTCTCTCCCTCTTTTTTCTTTGGAAGAATATCTATGCAAATACCTTTATCTGCCGCAACTTGACATCCCTCCCCTATGTTTCTTATTTATTGAGTGAATAAAATAATAGATAAATGAATGAATTACTAACATATGGGTTTGAGGAAAGGCCTGGGGAAATTATGGGCCATGGTATGAAAAGATTTTGCTCCTTTTTTCTTTAAAGCAGAGGAAAAAGGTAGATATTGCAAAAGACTATATATATAGTCCTTAGTTTATTCAACATGTGATTTCATGTAAATTTTGGTCTGTCCTTCACTCCACTGGGTTTCCAATACACCTCCTCTTTTCTCTTTCCTCTCACCTCAAGATATACAAAAATTGTAAACCATATATATATATATATATATATATATATATACACAAATAACACATGCCACAAACAAGATTGTTTTGAAATTATTCAAACTCAATAGTAAAAGATTTGAAGGAAGAATTAAAGGGAACTGTAAGGCTAGAAGGAAAATTATAACCACATCTTTGACCCAGTGTAAAGACAATGGAGCTGTAAGTGAGCTCATTATAGAACTTTTACCCAGCCCAGGGCACAGGAAAGCTGGGCTGTGGTACTCCCTGCTCATTTATATGGGCCTTAAACCATGAGAAATGTTAAAGAACTGCAGAGTGGTTTGGAATGTGTTTGTGTGTTTTAATGGCTCGGAGCACGTATCAATCAGTTTTTGCTGTGTGAGAAATCACCTCAGTTCATAATGTTTTAAACAACAGCTAGTTGCTTATGAATCTATGTGTCAGCTGTGCAGGCTACTGATTTGGGCCAAACTTGGCTGATCATGGTCACATTTGCTCCTGTGTCTACAGCCAGCTTGGGGAAAGGAGGGAGAAGCAGAGGGCTGGCTGGTCTAGGATGGCCTCAGCTGGTCAACAGGGAAGACTGGGGACTCTCTCCCATGGTCTGTTATCAACCACCCGACTAGTCTGGACTGGTTCCACTGTAGCAGTAGGGTTCTGATAGAGGCAGTGGAAGTGTGCAAGACTTGAAACCACTTTCTATTGGCCAGAACAAGTCATGAGACCAGGACAAATTCAAGGGGGAGGGAAAGAAGACTTTCCCCTGGAATCCCCCTTGATAAGGGTGAGTTGCTAAGTCACACTGCAGAGGGATATGGATGAAAGGAAGAACGAAGGATTAGGACCACTTTTGCAATGCACCACAGGGCAAAATGAAACAAGATCACCCTAGTTAAGTCCTTGTGTTTTTGCTCTTATCCATGTAACTGAATCAACACTTAATTATCTCTCCCTTTTCCCCTCCCCTGCAGGTCCTTCCCTTCTCCTCCTGGTTAGTAAGAGTCCAGGAATAAATTCTTGATTCAGTTACATGGATGGGAACAAAGACACAAGGACTTAATAGAGTGTTTCTATTTTGTTTTGACCTGTGGTAGATTGCAAAAGTGGTCATAATCCCCCTCTGCCTCCTCTTCCTCCTTCTCCTTCAACAAGGCTAGAAGAAATTAGCAGCCATGTGCTTAGGGCTCTAATCTGTTCTTATAGCAAGAAGCTCTTCTCATTGCATCTGTCAAAGTGTATTTCAGAAACCAGACCCCCTCTTCCTGTGCCTGGTCAGCAATAACTCTTTTGCTGTCTACAGCCATCTCAAGGATGGTGGTGGGTGGCTCGACACGAGCCCGAAAGAGGATCCTGAAAGAGGATCTATTTCAATTTGACTTTCATTATTCCAGCAAGAACTTGAGGCTCTCTTGGGTCTTTTTTTTTTTTTTAAGCTTCAGACCTCAACTGTCATTCTCAACTCACAAAGTCATCCCTATAGTGGGACACTTTGGGCTGAAACCTGCAGCTTGTATGCTTTTATTCTCCTCAAACTCAACTAGTAAACATCAGGGTTGTCCTGCGGGGCTAAGGATGAGTCATATTAGAGTACCTACCAGCAGGACCATGCTTAGAGTCCAGCAGCTGAATAAACAGAATCTCATTTCTACTGAAGCATCATCTTCATAGCCATGAACTGTTTCAAGTCAGTGCGGCTTTCTGAGCCTCACTGGCAGGAAGAGAATAGAAAAGCATCTAAGGTTCTTCATAAAAGAATGTGCCATACCCTGGCCCATCAGCCCTCCAGGTGCAACACCCATTCCAGTTTCAGGACAGCATGAGACTTGATGAATCATTGAACATCAGTTGAAAAGAATTGCATTGGCTCCTTTTATTCCCCTGACACTCCAGCAGGCAGTCTGTCCATGGTTTTGTGACTCCATCTCTATCTGCGTACCCAGTTCCATATTACTCACAAGGAAGTAGCTAAAAGATGGGGAGAGCTGCAGAGTAGAAAGTCAATCTAAAGTGTCTCTTGGTTTCCTAGGTCCAATGTGGGACCCTGTCAGCTCACTGTGTGGAATACGTCCAATCTGAGTCATGACAATCGACGAAAATACATCTTCAGTGATGAGGGGGGACAAAACCAGCTGAGCCTCCGGACCCACCAAGACATCCCTCTCCCACCAAGAAGAAGAGAGCTTCCTGCCTCGCTGACCACCAATGGGAAAGCAGACTCCCTAAATGGGGCTCGGAACTCAGTGATGCAGGAGCTCTCAGAGCTGGAGAAGCAGATTCAGGTGATCCAGCAAGAGCTGCAGCTGGCTGTGAGCAGGAAAACGGAGCTGGAAGAGTACCAAAGGACAAATCGGACTTGTGAGCCCTAAGTGGCCACGCTGCTCTCTTTTCTCAGTTCCTGGCCTTCTTCTGAGCCCTTAAGACACTTTGTAATGCTCTTTTGTAACTACTGACCAAGGTGGGGGGAAGCTGAGGTCTGGGTCTTCTTAGAGGTCAAGTCTGCTCTCCCTAGCCTGCAAAGCAGCAGCCAGCCTTCTCAAGCTCATTCCTAGGTCTCCAGGGTAGGAGTCTTCCTCAGAGCAGGAATCTTACATTAGTCAGAAGTAAACACCGTGTGAGGGATCTGTGAACAACCAGACATCCCCAGCTCCTGTTAATCTTTTCACCTGGTGCCACAGTAACATTTCTGGTTTTTAGCCCTTTCTCTGCACTATCAACAAGAGATAAAATTGTTACTCATACCTGTGTCTTACTGGGTCGTTGGTTTTAATCTTAGTATAGAGCGGGATTATTCAGGGTTGTGACTTTTGCTATAACTCCCCAGTGTAGATTTGTTCCTACAGTCTGAATGGGGAGCCAGGGAAGAGCTAGAGAAACTTAGGACAGGAAGGTGGGTACTTAGAAAACTTAACTGAACTCATTCACATCATAGCAGGCCAAGGATTGATTGGATCAGGCAAGAGCCATGTTTTTGAAAGGGTCCTGGATCTCCAACATCATCCTGACTAACATTTGGTAGGAACATGTTTACACGCCACTATGAAAGGGAACAGGGATGTGGTGAGCGGAAAGAGCACAGGCAGAAGAGGCATTAAAATGTATACCATGCTTTTCAAACAAAAGCTCTGGGCCAGAAAAGCAATTTCGCTGAGGAATGAATAGGCCCATACTTCTAATCTAATTAAGCATCTCCACTATAGTGTGTGCCTTTCAGAAAGGAAAGTGAGAAAAGCAAGGCAAGGATGTGGCCTTAGGATGAAACTGGGATATTCCTGCTAATTGCCTGCACAGGACATGTGAGCTGCCACTGTGAGTTAAGGGACGATGTTCTGCAAGCCATATATTTGGCTATTTTCAGATCAGCAGTCACCTGTGTCTTAGCTATAGGAATCCCAGAAGTGAACTTCAAGACTGTGAACACCACAAGCTTAAACGTTCAGGAATGTGCCCTGTGCTTTTCATATCTATATGGATCACTAGCAAGTCAGTCTTGCAGCCTCACACCCCCTCATCTGTGAGAAACTGTGAACAGGCACTGGTCCCTCTGATTCTCCCCCGAACCCCATCTAATGCCCCCAAGAGATTGATGTGAGTAAGCTGTTTCCCCTCTGCCTAGGCATCCCTTTTCCGGTGTGCAAAGGCTTGGACACACAGAAAGGGAAAGGAATACGTGAACTACAGAGCTTCAGTTCTCAGTCACCTAGGAACTCATTAGGATGCTGACTGCATGAGATGGGAAAGGGAGTGGATGTGGGCTCAGAAACCTGCTACCAACACTCCCAGGTGACTGACATGCGGCCTAAAACTTACTCTTCAAGAAACATTGTTCTAGAAATTTGGCTGCTCCAGGCATGGGGAGAATTGAGAAGAGCCTTTTTGAGAGTTTCTCAAAAGGCTTCAGCACACACCTGATGATTCACGGTCCACACAGCCACGCCCACCCCAGGACACCATGTAGGACTAGACTTCCTTGTCTATCAATTAATTGCTTTATCTTCTCAGTTGCTTATCATCTTTGCTCCGCCCCAATCAGTTTGAAGGCCTACAAAGAGTTCTCAGCACTGTGCCAAGCACCGTGCTCTGTAAGCTGCAGATCACTGGGAAGGCTCCTCAATCACAAAATTTCTTCCCCTACTTTTGGATGCAGTCCCTGCATTTCCACCAAGAGCTGCCCAGTCCCCCAAGGAAAGATAATACTTTAAGCTGCAATTAGATAAGACTCCAGCAATTAGCTGTCTGAGAAAACCCTGGGGTGGATATAGGCTTAGAGATTCTGATGAGGGAGGTGGACGGGTTCTAAAGTTAGACTTCATCAACCTCACAGATGAAACAGTTGAATAATGAGGGAACAGTGACCCCTGGAAACAGAAAGGACAGCTCTGCTTTGAAATGCCCATCCTCCCATGTTCTCACCCCAGACACAAAAGTAGGTTTGCAACTGCCTTTGGAAGATTATGCCCCTTAGCCATCCCCACCCATCTGCAACAGCTAAGGATGCTCTAGAGACTCTGCCATCATGCTCTGCACCCCTAACCTCTGCGCAGCCTGGAAGGCTGACGTATAGGTGTACCTCAACTCACGTAACAGCCATGCTCCTAATGTTGTACCTGGACATTTTTTATAACTCAGCTCAGATTCTGACTGTACTTGAGAAGTTGGCTATTTAAAGGAACCCAGAGGTGAATTCTTTTGTAAAGAATCCTTTTGTAATGCAATTAATTATCCCGTAATGTATTTGTTTTGTAAGTTTGGATTTTTGTATATCAGGTTTACCTTAAGCTTCTCTACTGAGGCATTCTGAGCAGTGGTGATAACATGCCAGATCACCCTATCTATCCACAAACATGTAGATGACCAGGGCATGGCTCCTCGAATATCTTCTGAGGAACTACTTGGCCAAAACTGCGGCCAGGATGTGGCCAGAAGCAGCAGGAGCTGAAAGCAGGCTTACTGCCATTAGCATTGCTTGAAATGCCCCCATGTTCTGGACAAAGAAAAACAAAGCATAATCGCTTGTGTTGAAATGATGCAGTCTTCATGTTAAGTAGGAATGGTAATTGAACAGTGTTTTGCAATTTGTGAAACAGTGTGTTGTGTTTTGTAAAAAGATTTCATGAAATGGTGGGTCCTTTGAAAACCTTCCTTCCTGTTCTGCTCCACCTCTGTTCTCTCAACTCCCCTCAGGCTCAAGAAACACAAGGATCAGAGAAGTCTTCAGGTGGAGGGTGGTTTTCTGGTAAAGAAGGAGATAAGGGATGCTACCTTGCCTCCTATTGTGGGCTTCTCTTCCATGAGATCAGGAAGACCTCCTTTTTTTTTTTTTTTTTTTAATTTTTATTTTTGGCTGTGTTGGGTCTTCATTGCTGTGCGTGGGCTTTCTCTAGTTGCGGCGAGCGGGAGCTACTCTTCGTTGCGGTGCACCAGCTTGTCATTGTGGTGGCTTCTCTTGCTGTGGAACACGGGCTCTAGGCGCATGGACTTCAGTAGTTGTGGCTCATGGGCTCAGTATTTGTGGCTTGCGGACTCTAGAGCGCAGGCTCAGTAGTTGTGGCGCACGGGCTTAGTTGCTCCGCGGGATGTGGGATCTTCCCGGACCCGGGCTCGAACCCATGTCCCCTGCATTAACAGGCGGATTCTTAACCACTGAACCACAGTGCTGAAAAAAGACCTCCATTTTTTTCCAAGCTCTGATGCTAGGAAATCAGGTGCACGACAAGTCCACTATCACACCACCCAACCCTGTTTTCCAAGGGGGAATTCCTGGCACAGGAAGCATATAATAAAGTAGGACTGGGCAAGTTGGAACAGATAGGGCTATTGGTTCATGTAAATAATGAAAATAAGGGCCCCAGAGTGTGGATGCCCAAGGTGGAGGAGCAGGGGGATCCCTCCAACAATTGAAGACAAGCTGGAAGAATGACTGGGACAGACAAGTGAGGCAGCCACAGGGACCCAATCATTCGAGGTCTTTAAGGTGCCTGGAGGTGACTTTCCATTATCCACGGATCTTGCTGTTGCACAAACCTTATATGGGAGCTGCTGCTTCTGTGCCAACCAGATAAGCCGTAAGTGGAGCAGCTGCTGAGCAGGACAGAGCTATGTCATCTGGGCAACAGACTTCTCAGTGATGGTGCTGGGTCTGTTAGAGCCTTGGAGCTAGTGACCACTTCCTCGGTATGGATAAAGACTTAAGAGGAAAGAAACCACTAGCCTCTCTTCCTCCCAACTCATATATTTGATAGGCAAACCAGAAAATCCATCCAGTCTTCAGAAGGAACTGCTTTCTAGTCATCAAAACCACTTCACTCTGCACTGTTCACTTATTCCTTTCTTCACCCACCCACACCCATCTAATCCAGGATTCCCTCATTCTTTAAGTTTAGTTCCTAATCGTTTTATGAAAATAACGTACCTATAAGTATTTTCTTAAGGTTTGTAAAGTGTTTGCATTGTGTCTTCACTTTAATGTGTTTGCAATCGCTCCGTTCCAGGAAGAACTGAAATGCTGTCTTGTGAGCATGAGGTGAACAGGCTGTTTTGCTCCAGCCACTTTTCTTGTACAACCACGTGGATGGACTAGATGTCCTCAGGCCTTTTCCATTTTCAGTTTCTATGACTGTGGAATAAATGTTGAGATAAAAACTTCACTTCCAGATGTACTGCTGGCATTGTCTTTGGGGACTCAAATGTTGACATGATACCAGCCCCTTCCTAACAGGAGACCCAGTGATGCTGTGACTTATGCTTACTTCTTTGGTATAGTCCAAAGTGACACAAAACGTGCTGAGCAAACTCAGAGCCCTGGCATCATGCAGTTAAACTGAAATAGCTTCGTCTGAGACATTCTAGGAAAAGCCACACTATTAAGAGATCTCTAAAAAACTCTGCTCCAACCACCTCATTTAGTAATTCAACAAACATTTGTTAAAGAATTTATACTTATGTGCCAAGTGCTGGAGACCATCATAAGATGGGCATGGTCTTTAACCTCAAGGACCTTCTCGTCTGTCCTTTTCACAGCCTATAAACTGATACTACTATATATAATAGCTGACACTTATTGAGCACCTATTTTAGTAACTGTGATCTCATTTAATCTCCATTAAAATTCCGTGAGATTTGTACTCTAGACCTAGTCTAGAGTAGATAAGCTGGACCTCTAGTTTATAGATGGAAAGACTAAGGGTCAGGGAATTATGTGAGCTGCCCACAGTCCCACAGCTAATAAGAGTAGTGGCAGAGATTCATACGCAAGCAGTGCAATTCCAGAACAACCATACTATGTTGTCAGAATACTGATTATTTCCTTACAACTTCCCCTTCTTCCTCTAACCCTCCCCCTCTCTAGTCTTTCTGCCATACTGCCTCCTGCCCATGCCTCAGCCTGGTCCCCAGCTCCACAGAAAGCTCAGGTGGTAACTGCACCTGCCATGGTCCACTGAACTCCACACTGCAGCCCTTGAGTAGCACAGAAATACTGTTTCAGGCATCTTTTTGCTTTCTAGTCCAACCAAGAACTGGTGCAAACACAGCTGCAAATCACTCAGCAGTCCTGCAGTCTCAGGCGTTTTGCGATTAGCTGCTGGAAAACTTGCTGTCACGAATCTGCTAGTTGGATGGATGCATTCTTCCCACACAATCTTTTGGCATATACCCAAATCAAATCCTACAAAAATATAGACCTACTATATAACCTAGTTCAACCACCAACTTACCCAAGTCTGTTGAGCATCATTAAG